AGACTTGCTGAATTCTGGGGTAGCTTAAGAAGTTAGTGGCTCAACCAAAAGACAGGCTAGAAGATATGTCTCACAGTACTTAGGAGACAAAAATATCACTAAAGGGATGAGTCATTTTAGTGAATATTTTAACCTGCTTGGGAGAGGAAACTGCTGAACTCCAGATTCTCAGTCATTGACCTTGGACACTCAAGCTTAAGGTACACTTCAAAGTATGAGTTGGACTGACTCTTTCTAGAACAATAACCCAGCAGTCCTGATCCAACTCAATCCCTGTTGGAACAAAGGGATCAATCACCCACTCTGATTCTTTGCCCAAGAGGAAATACTCTTGGACTTTGGTAGGAAATATATGTGGTAGAAGATACTAATGTTGAAGCTGCTGAGTGAAGCTGCTAATGTTCTTTCATCTATAATATACAATATATAGTAAGAAAATTACTAGACATTTGGAGAGATTTGAAAATGTGACTAAAGATAAAAAGACTAAACATATAATAGAAGCAGACTCCAGATGGTCCAGATATGGGAAGTTAGCAAAGAGAAGTTCTAGAAAATTGATGCTGAGGAAAATATGAGTTAAAGACATTTTAAAGTGAAGGATTCCAAGAGAGAATGGGATCTATAAAGAGAATGACATCCACAGTTTAGAACTGTTCACTTTCTAAAATTCACAACACAGTGGATAAATTTTAAAAAACAGATTGGATACAGCAAAGATGAGATCAGTGACTTGAAAAAAGAGTAAAAGAAAATTTTCAATGCTAGAGCGTAGAGAGAAAAAAGGATGGAGAGAACAGAGCAAAGCATAGAGACATTTGGGGTGTAGTTAGAAGATCTAACCTTTATCTGATTGGAGTCCTAGAAGAATTGGAGCAGAGGAACATTTGAAGTTATAATTAATGACAATAAATCCCCATAAACTGATGGAAGATATCAGGAATTAGGTTCAAAGTCAGGTAACTCATAAGCAAATAAAATATGAAAAAGAAAACCATATGTAGCCATATCTTAAGCTGTAGAAAACCAGATTGAAAGAATATCTTAAAAGCCACTAGATAAAAACTAACAGCTAATATTATATTGAATGGTGCAATATTTAATGTTTTTCCTCTAAACTTGGGAGTAAGAAAAATATTTCACTATTACTTATATTCAGAAATATATTGGAGGTCCTAGCTACTCCAATAAGGAAAAAAAAAAAGTTTAAAGTTTAGAAAAGAAGAGATAAGACTCATTATTGGCAGACATTACTATTACTGTGGATATAGAAAATTCAACAGATTCTAAATATCATTAGAATTAACAGAATTATTAATAATAAATTAATATTGAATGATTAGATTTAAATTTTTTGTATGAAGACACTATACCAAAAATATCTGTTTTGTTTCTTTAAACTTAACATGAAATCAGAAAGGAAAATTGTAAAATTTTTAAATGTCATTTATAATAGCATCAAAGTATCAGAATACTGGAATACCTCTCAAAAGATATCTTAAGTTTTCTATATGGAAAACATTTCTGGAAAAATTTAAGTAAAAGCTAAATAAATGGAAATATTTATGACATACATGCATTCAATATTGTTAAACATTTTTATAATTCAGTCCTACTCAAAATCTAAGCAGCTTTTTTTTAATGGAAATTTATACAGATACACATAAAAACTTGCAAATGCAATCTTGTAAAAGAATAATGAAGTTGGAAGCCTTGCTGCAATCCAGACTTTATAATCAGGCTTCAGTAATAAAGTGACAGGGTAGTGTAGCCATGAGATCAGATAGACCAATGGAACAAAATAGAGCTACACTGCCCAGTATAGCTGCTACTAGCCACATGTGGCTATTAAGCACTCGGTATGTGGCTAATCCAAATTGAGATGTGTTGTAAGTATAGACACTGGATTTTAAAAAGATTTAGTATGAAAAATATGTGTATAATATTTCATTAATAATTTTACATTGTTTATGTACCGAAAAGGTAATATTTTAATATAGGTTTAAATGAAATATTAAAGTCAATTTTATGTTTGTTTTGACTGCTTTAACAAGACTTCTAGAAATTTTAGAACTACATATATGGCTTAATGAATAACCCTGGTGGAAGCAAAGATTCCTAAAACAGGACACAAAAATACATAAAAGGTTTGTAAAGTGGAGTATATAGTGCTCTATTCATCAAAAGACACTTTTACAGATTGAAAAGGCAAATCATAGGTCGGTAAAAGGACAGTTTTGAGAGTAAGCAAATGATGGCAGCTCTCCTGCCCACCTGTGCCCATGCAGATGTCTCCTTTTTTATATATTAAACCTGTTAAAAAAAAAAAAAAGAGAGAGAGTGTGAGTGACTTGAATAGGAACTTCACAAAGGGGATAGTATATGAAAAAGTGCTCAGTATCCTTAGTTACAAGGATATGTGAATTAAAGAAATAATACTGCAGATATGCTAGAATGACTAAGGTTTCAAAGACTGACAATATCAAATCACCTGGAACAACTCCTACGCATTACTGCTGGGTGTGAAAATTATTACAATCACTTTCGGAAGAAAATTGACAATATTTATTAAAACTAAATGAGTAATATACCTCATAATCTAATAAGTAATTTCACTCCTAGGTTTATAGCCAAGATAAATGAATGTGTTTGTCCCCCGAAAGACATACAGTTTATGTGAATATTGGAAGCAACCCAAATAATAGTAGAAAGGTTAAATAAATGGTGGTGTGTTTATACAATAAAATACTACACAGTAATACAGAAGAGTGAACCACATACTGTATGATTCCATTTACATGAAGTTTAATAGCAAAAGTAATCTACTCTGGTAGATATCTGAATAGTAGCTGCTTCTTAAAGGACACGAGGGTATTCCAGAATGCTGGAAATGTTTTATTACTTGGTCAGGATGGTACTCGTCTATGTACTCATGTGATGAGTACAAGTGTGCCCATGGAGCTATATGGGAGATCTCTGCATACTGTATGTGTGCCATACCTTGCACACTTGTAAAGCATCATGTTAACATGTCTGGTTGTTCCTTGATGGTGATGATTATAGTTCATTTGTTTTTGTAAGACCAGGTACATAAACATAAAAGGTCATCAATACATAGAAAAGAAATTTCGGAAAACAATAGATTAGGAAGTTAGTTTTGATTAGTTGTTTGATTAATCTAATATTTCTTAATCCAGCCCCATTTCTATTGTCTGCCCATTTGCTGTAGTCATAATTCTTTTGATCTCAAGGTTAGGGGTAGTGATCTTTGAACTCAACAGAGCACATCTAACTTTAGCCCTTTTCTGTTAACTATCCTGACAGTATATGGTGGTCTAGTATGTGATGGTTTGAGTGTATGACAGAGAGGGAGACTTTATTAAATGATAGAGATTGATAGTAATAGCTGTCTCCAGATTTAGGGCCTTGATGGCTTTATTTCCTCATGCATTTCCTTCTATCTAGTTTTTCCTCTTCCATGATATTTAGCATTCAACAAATAGTTACATAGCTAGTAGGTAAGTGGCTACATCAGCAACTAAAACAAATAGGGACCCCTGCCCTCAAAAGGTTTACACTGTCATTGGAGAAGACTGTCAGTCAGCTGTAAACTTCCTCTTTTCCTTTTCCTACTTGTGCCTAAGAATCAGTCAGAACAAACACTTAAACAGAAAAACAAAGGCTCAGTTTGCTTACCCACCCCTTCTCTCTGTTGTACAGTAGAGACAGTTCACTTGCCTTCTTGAGCCATGGAAAAAACCTGTCATTTTGGATTAACTTCAGCATGGCACCTAGTGGAGCACTTTGTGTCTGGAGGAGCGTAATACATATTTGTAACCTCTGGGAGCGTCAGTCAGTGCCTGCTGATTTCCATACATCTTTTCTACCATTTGTCATCATGTTTTGTGTTTTTTTGTTTGTTTCCTAAGCGATCATTTTCTAGGGAAAGCTTGGTTTAAGATCTTAGAAAATGTAATGTGTTCTGTTGTGGTATAACTTGGGACAATTGAAGCCCAGAATGGGTAGACTGAAGACAGTGATTTGCAACATAAATCATCCTTTCCAAAGGGAGAAGAAACCCAGAATAGTGAATTTGACTTAGGGTTGTGGTGATGAATGTCTTTTCAAAAGTCTCATAGTGTGATAAATCCTAGATCTGGAAAAGCGAAATAGTGCAAATGAAACCATTGAAATAAAATTGTTCAAATGTTGTCCTAGAAAGAGTGCACAGAGTACTCTGACTTAAGCATCTCTTTTAAAGTTTGTTGTTTTGATGCAGATTTTTTTTAAAAAAAGCATATACTCTGTAGAAAGAGATTTTGTAGAGATTAGGAACCTAAAAATGTCAGTGTGTATTGGGGTTAGGAGGGAGTAAGTTAATTTTTTTCATTTGGAATTTGTATTGGAAGGATGATGAGTAAAAACAATTCATTTCCTGGTACAAAGGGGAAAGATGGGACAATTCTATAGAGAATAATTATACCTTGCATTTGTATAGTGCTTACTGTTAAAAAATTGTTTTTCTATACCTTTTTATCTTCACAGTGACCTAGTGATCTATGTATTTTTAACTCTTGTTTTAATAGATTTGGAATCTAAGAGGTGTTGACATTACCCACATTAGTAGGCATTAGGGTTGGGGCCTTGTGATTCGAAGGCTCCCAGGCTTTTATGTTCTGCCTCTATGAAGATTTTATGTAGCAACATGTAGTCAGTTTTGGCAGAGAAGGGTTGTCTTTAGACCAATTTTAGTGGTACTAAAGGCAGGTCTGAAATCAAGAGTCTGAAAAGCAGAATTAATTCACTACTCATGTGAGTAGGAAAGGTGGTTGTACCCACAGAGTGGGGTGTTTGTGATCTTTGATCACTCTGGGCTGATTTGAGGAAGAACTTGGTACTCACTTGTGGACAAGTGGATGAAGTAGTGCCTGTTCTAAGAGAATTATTTCTTGGGTTCTGTGGCGTTACTAATTTTCTTTCTTTCTAACCTCTATCTTCAGGAGCCTCCAGAAGATGATGCAAACATCATTGAGAAGATCCTGGCATCTAAGACTGTCCAGGAGGTTGGTGGCTTGTGTTTCTTGCTTGTATATCACTAGCACAGATTACAGTCTCTTTGAAGAGTTGTTGGACTAGAGACCTGGAATTGTTCTCTTTGCTGGAGTGCTAGCTAGACAGGAATATCTCCTGGCTAGTCAACAGTTATTTTTACTTCCATGGAAAATTTGAGGCATAAAATTTTTAAATGTTTGGGTCTGGCCCAAACTGAATTTTTTCTTCATTGTGATCCCCATGTAAGGTGCTTAACCCTTTATTGCTGTAGACCATTCGTAATCACCAGAGGACCAGGAAAGGCAGTGGACAGAGAGTTCTAATGAAAACTTGGTGTATGTATGTATGTGTGTGTGTGTGAGAGAGAGATGAGTAGAGGGGGGTGTGGTTATTTAGACATCAGAACCATTGTGGGGATCCCCTCGAGAAAATTTCTGGAGTGAAAGGGTATGTTGTTGCTGCTGAAAGAATAGTTTTACCTTTACTTCATGTATCCATGAGAGTAAACTTTCTTCTTTTGAGAGTGAACACTGCTAATGTTTCAGGGTGACAGTGGGGGGAGATGCCAGAGATACATTTCTTGGCTGCCACACCAGGCGCTCAACCTGACACCTCTCAGAGCCCTGGTTCCACTAGGTTTTATCAGCTGAATGCTCTCCCTGCCTGGACCTTGGAATGATACCATGTGGAGCAATCTTTTTACCTGATAGCCATTGAAATACCTGGTCAATAGCTATCAGAAAAGACTTTGGAAAATAAAAAGCCTCAAGAAATCCAACTAAAACTAGTCAGTGGTGTTGATTTACCTGTTTACTTTGGTATGTCATGGTGACCTGTGGGGATCTGAGTTGTTAACTGTCGTTGGTTACAGGTTCACCCAGGAGAACCCCCATTTGACTTGGAGCTGTTCTACGTTAAGTATAGAAATTTGTACGTCTATTTTGTGCATTATTTGTATTTTTATTTTATATATTACTGAAACTTCTTTTCCCGTGTCATGTTATCTCCTATATCTTTTAAGAGTGGCCCTTAATGCAAAACCATAGATCTTGGCTGAGTCAAGCTCATTGTAGGTGGTAGTACTCAATATTGGCTGCACAGTCAGCAGGAGCCCTCCTGGAGCCTTTGCTCCAGTTGACTCAGACTTTGGGATTAGGGTCCAAGGGTAGATATTTCTTAAAAACTCCCTTCCTCTGCTCCCAGCCTACTTTGCTAATGTGTGTTGATGACTGATGGCTACTTATGTCTGTCTTCCCTCTGTTCTGAGCCTCTCTCCGTAGAAGCTGCAGTGATAGGTTGCTTGGAACTGCTGCATCATTTTGTTTTCTGTTTTTGCTCTTATGGGAGAGAAGGCCTTTTAAAGCCCAGTCTTAAGCAGCTTCACAAAAAACTGCTCATTTGCGTCTTCATTAGACGGTCACCGTGTTATTTGAAACACCTGAAAGCGCTGATCGCTGCTGGTGGTGTGTATTCTCATGGCTCGTGTGTCTCTGGGCAGCTCCTACCTGCACTGCAAGTGGGCAACCATGGAGGAACTGGAGAAGGACCCCCGGATTGCACAGAAGATCAAGCGCTTCCGCAACAAGCAGGCCCAGACCAAGCACCTCTTCACCGAGGTAAGGCGCGTTCGCTGCTTTGGCCGCTGCTTTCCTTGTTAACATGGGGTTTAAGTTTCTTGAAGTCTAGTATCGATCTGTTGCTCAAGTCAGATTGCCAAGTGGTCGCTGATTTCTAATCAAATGGGTCACATTTCAGCCAAGGAAAGCAGGTTACTCACTGGGGGTGAGTCAACCTAGATTAACAACCCATCAGAATTTTTTTTCTCTTCTCCTCTCCTTAAAAGAGCAAATCCAGAAAGACTTAGAAGTTTGAATGTAAAAGTAAAAGCAAAGCTCACAGTTGTTGAAAATAAATTAGTTTATATAAACTTGGGGATTTCTAGGTATGGTATTTACAGCACGAGGAAGGATGCATAGATTTAGATACTGAACCAATCTGTTGTGTCTTATACTTGAAAAAATACTTCAGGTCAATTTGAAAGTAAATTATTAGGAAAAGTATGTATACATTATGTACATGGAATTTTTTCTGATTATATACTTTCACACACACACAGCATACATTTTCTTATCCATTATGGGACCTTCCTATATATTTACATACACACAATGTTACATATACACAGATACATATGACAGATAGCTCTAATAACTCATAAGAGATGCTCTTATAACTCAGTAAGAAGAACACAAAATTCCAAATACAAAAAAAAAAAAAAATTAAATAAATGAATAGGAAATTCAGAAAGGGGGGAAAATGTGGTCATTAACTACAGAAATGTCATCAGTTATACTGGTAGTCACAGAAATGCAAGTTGAAATGGAAGTTGTCTAGTTATTACTTATCAAAGCTTATTATTTGAAGACTTTAAAATGTCTGCTGTCTATTGCTGATCAGAGTGTAGGAAAGATACCCTCTCATATATCCCTATATGGGAGCATGACTTAGTAGGACCAGTCAGAAGCGCAGTATGGAAATAGACATTAAAAGTCCAGAAATTTTCCTCTTTTGTCCCAGCAATTCTGTCATTTATTTTAAGGAAACTATCAAGTCTTTCTGCAAAGACTTAGCTACGATGCAGTCATTTATATTGGTGAAGAATTGAAGACAGACAAAATGTTAGATCATAGGCATTTGTTAAATACAGTACATCTCATAGAAAAGAATGCTGTGCAACTAGTAAAAATGATATTGGAAAATAATTACTAATGATATAGAAGTTTAATGTTGTAAACTATTATTAGTTGAAAATGTGGGGCTCTTGCAGTATATGGGACAGTTCCATTTGTGGGGTGAGGGAGATGCATGCAGGAGAAAAGAAGCCACCATATGGCGTAGTGGTTGAGCGCTGGGTTGCGATGCTGCCCGCAGCCTCTGCGGCGCCGGTTCGATCCCCAGCTGCTCCCCGGCCACCGGAGGAGGGTCCCACATGGCACGCAGACCTCTCCTGCCGCCCGCTGCTCCCCTCAGCAGTGTGCTTCGGTCCTTCTGCCTGCTGTGCTCCCCGCTCTGGCTCTGGTGAATTCTCTCACCCTCCCACGCTTCTGACTGTACCCAGTGCATGTATAAACAAAACAAACAAACAAACAAACAAATAAATAAAGCATGCCTCTATTAAAAAAAAAAATTTAAAAATAAAAAAAAAAAAGAAGCCACCATAGAAATGAATAGAAAATATCTTGAATATATAGGAAAATGTTGACATTTTCTCCAGTTGATGTGAATATGGTGATTTTTATCTTATTTTTTTAAATATGTAATTTTTCCATTTTATCTGAATAAGTTGTAAGAAAAAGGAGCAATAAAAATTATTCTTAAAATGTAGTCACAAGTACTAGACCTTAAGAGTGCACTCAGATACCATTAAATTATAGTAAATTGGGACACATGCTTAGCAATTCATTATTCATGTTGTACTCCTTTTCCTCAAGTGACAAAAAAATTATTTTAGGATAATGTCAATAAGCATTCTACTTGTGTTCCAGTATGGACTTTTTAGCCTTAATGTTTGATCCTAGCACGTTCTGTGATTGTTTTAATGCCTGTGAGAATTGTTCATCATGGCATTATTCCTCTAATAGAGAACTAAGGAAAGAAAGGTGACAACTAGAATTAGAAAAACCATCTTGAAGGCCTGTTGGATATTCTCCCTCTATTCTTGGAACATTTTGTTCGCACCTCTATTTTAGCAAGTATTTGCAGTGTAGTAACTTGTTTACATGTCTGTTTCTTCCATTTTAAGCCCTGCGAGACAGAGAGGGCCCATGTCTTCCTCATATTTCTATCCCTAGTACGAAGCAAAGGGTCAGTGCTCAGTAATTATTTGGCTGTCCTCAGGTAAGGGAGGAGGCTTTGCCTGATACTGTTCCCCTACTTCAGACCCTTCAGCACTCCCCATTTTCTTGGAATAAATTCCAAACCCCTTCATATAGCCCCGAGTATCTGTTTTCTAATTTATTCCCAAGGAAGTGGATTTCTTTGGTTGGGACTAGAGAGAGGAAACTGTTAGGGTATATAAAAATAACGTAACAGGAGTTCATACTCTTGTGGGAAGGAAAGGCTTCTGGAACAAAGATTGGAGGACACCATCAGGTGAGTTGGCATAATAGTGAGCAGGTTCTGTAATAGTGTTTTCGGTCTTGATCTGTTCAACGTTTCTGTTGACAAGCTGGCTAAATAATATTCTTGTAAAATAAACAATAGCTTCATTTTGAGTAGACTTTCTTCATAGCCATTATTCCTAACTGCTTTTGGAGGTAGCCAGGGCACATGTTAGGGAAACTTAGCTTTGAGAGGCTGCGTATTCCACATGCCACAGGCATGCGGCCTTCTGACTAAATCCTGACCCCTTCTGAAAACCAGACAGTTCAGGTTTACCTGAACAGGGCTAAGATGAATGGAATATAATGGCAATAAATGAATGTAATGCCATTTATATTTTTAAAATCTTTACAACTTACGAGTGCAGAAAATGACTAGTTAGCAGTTGCAGGGGAAAAAAGATATTTTCAGTTTAATTACAAGTTTATTGTGAGCCAAGAGTACTGTGTGGTTGCTTAAAATGTAACACTAATCTGTAGCAATAGAATAGTCCTGTGCCTGACTCTTTTCATTATATAGTACTAGGAGCCCCAGCTCCAGCCCTAACTACCAGGGTGCAGGCTCTAACCATACCTCCTTATACTGTTAGGTGGCCTTGGGTCACTTGCAAGGCCTTAGATTCAGTATCCTCATCTGTGTAAAGGGGAACTCCTGGTGCTGTTAACCTTAAAGAATACCTGTGAGGATTCATTGGCTCAGTGTTTATGGAAGTATTTAGCATGCACCCTGGCTGACAGTCACTATTCCATAAATGTTAGCTCTCTCCATCATTGAGGGATCTGGGAACATAGCACCTGAAAAACTGTTGAACACCTGGGGTTTGTAACCCAGATAGGGAGATGTTGAAGAACTAACACAGAGAAAAGAAAATCAGCTTAGTTATTGCTGCAGAGGAAGCAGTTCACAGCAATGAGTCACAGTTACAGAAGGAAAGTAAGCTAATTTAACAGTAATGACTAAGAACATGGTGCTTCTACTGAGCAGGCAGAAGTGAAGCCATCTTGGCAGTGGGTCAGGTCTTAGAGGACAGTAAACTCCTGAATATGAGGATAATGGAATCTGAGGTGGATTGGCCGGGGGTGCTATAAAAAGTATTCCTGTGTTGACTAAATGCCCCTAAAGTTCCTTCTAGCCTAGGGACCAGCAAGACCATTCTAGCAGTCTAGGAGGAGAGCTTATGACCTGGATGAATGTTCCAGTTCACACAGCTCTGTGGCCTTGGTCACATTACTTATTTATCCTCTCCTTGTCAGTTTCCTGATTTGTAAAGTAATTATAGCACCTACTCTATAAAGCAGTTTTGAGACTTAAATGAAAGTACTTAGCATATCTCCAGACATGCATTAAATATTTCTAAATGTTACTTACCACAGTTTTATAAGTACATTTTTTGAAGTATAATGTACATAAAGATAAATAAACCATAAGTGTACAGCTCGATGAACACACCTGTGTAAGCACTACCTAGATGAGGAACTAGATCACAATTAGTACACTGGAAGCTCCTCATGCCTCCTCCATGGTAGCTATTATAGCTGGTATTAAGAAAAATCAGAATTCCAAGTTTCCGAGGGTGTTCTTTGAAACACATGGTGGTGTGGTTGATGCCTTTAAATTTAGTCATGGAGAGCAGGATTCGGGGACAGTGAAGAAATGTCTGTGTGCGACTTTTATTTCTCAAGTGAACCCTTTCATTCCTTGTTACCTGATGGGGCTCAGAGTGGAGGGATCGCTGAAAGTTTCATCATTGGATTTTGGATTTGAGAGATGAACGGGGGACACTTCTTAACTCTTCTCTGTTTACATTAGCCTGATGAAGACTTGTTCAACCCAGACTACGTAGAAGTTGATCGCATCTTGGAAGTGGCCCACACCAAGGATGCAGAAACAGGAGAGGTGGGCATTTGATTCTTAACTCATACTTTCCCTTCTTACCTCATATTTTCCTTGTTTTGTTATCATTTGGTTTTTATTTTAATGGCATTCACATGTTGTATTGTAGGGTGGGTTTTCAGACAGTAACCAGAATATGGTTCATTTAATCTAAAGAAAAAATATACATGTATCTCCTGTTTTCCCCCAGGAGGTGACTCATTACCTGGTGAAGTGGTGCTCGCTGCCTTATGAGGAAAGCACGTGGGAGCTGGAAGAAGATGTGGATCCTGCAAAAGTTAAAGAATTCGAATCTCTTCAAGTTCTCCCTGAAATTAAAAATGTGGTAATGTGTCATATTCTTTTGAGCATTTTTAGGAACTTGGCAATCCTGGGTGTTGCACCTGAGTGGTTTCTTTGGTATCTTACCTCTGGCTGCTCCCCATTGAACCTGTAGTTCAGGGTGTTTTTCTACCAAAATCAAACTTTGCTAGTGCTCAGGTCAGTAAGATAGAAGGTGTGAGAATGCCTGCCATGGCATAGAAGCTCAATAAATTCTTAGTATCTTTTCTTGTTTCTTATTTATATTTCTTGCTCTGTCACTGATCTCTCGCCTTTACTCAACTGGAATGTTGTTTAAGCAAAAAGCTGTGCTTTATATTTATAGGCTTCTCAGAAAGAACGTAGGATTATTACCACCAGCCTACAAAAATTTCCCATGGTATCTGTCATGTAGTTGTACATAGAGTATCAATGAAAAGAAGGTATATTTGGAATAAAGAATGAGTAAGATGTAACTTATGTGGGAAAAGAGTCGGTTGTTAAAAGAGCATGGCTGGGCCTCCCTGGTGGCGCAGCGGTTGAGCGCTGGGTTGCGAAGCTGCCCGCAGCCTCTGCGGCGCCGGTTCGATCCCCGGCTGCTCCCCGGCCACCGGAGGAGGGTCCCACATGGCTCCTGCCGCCCGCTGCTCCCCTCAGCAGTGTACTTCGGTCCTTCTGCCTGCTCTGCTCCCCGCTCTGGCTCTGGTGAATTCTCTCACCCTCCCGCGCTTCTGACTGTACCCAGAGCATGTATAAACAAAAACAAACAAACAAATAAATAAATAAACAAACATGCCTCTAAAAAAAAAAAAAAGCATGGCTATCTGCTGGAATGATCAGTTTCTGTTTTTAAAAAAAATCACCATTTTTATGTAAAAACTCTTATTAGTATTACTTGTTACTTTTTACATCACTGGAATGTTAGGAATCAGAAGACAGAGCTCAACATTGACCTTAGATCCCTGTAAAAGTCCATTTAAAAGGACTATTTTGGTTTTTTGTTTGGCATATAAAGTATGTCTTGACATGTAGACTGTAACTGGATATTTACATCATTAATAGTACTTTGTCTATATGATTGATTTTCCTTTTAACCCTCTCCTTTAACTGTTGTCTTTTTTTTTTTTTAAACTCAATTTGTTAGTCATTTATCACGCATCTGCTGTAGGTTGAGTTTTGTATGAGCTATAGGAAAGATGGTACAGGTCCTGCCCCCAGGAGCTCTCAGTCTAATGGAAGAGACACTTGTGTACATGGACAAATATGGCACCAGTCTATTTGGGATGGGTGACAGTGCGAGACAAACCAGTGTGGAAGCAGAATAGAGAGAATTTCACTGTGAAGCTAATAGTAAGTTGTAATCTAGAAGTAATCAGGAGTCTTACTCACTCAGCCTTATTTTCTCAAACTGACTACATGCACTTGGCAGCATGTGGGTTCTCAAGTGTTTTCAGACAGTATCACTTTTCCTTTATGGTTGGGCTGTTGTGATGCTGCTGTCCTCATCTCTCAGTGATCCATGGTATCCTTTCGCATTTCTCTTTTTGTTTATAACTTATTTGTTCTCCTTTAAAATGCACATTTTGAAATTTTATTGCAAAAATTCTAAATTGGGGGCCTCCCTGGTGGTGCAAGGGGTTAAGCACCGCACTATGAAGCAATCCGCAGCCTCTGCAGCACAAGTTCAATCCCCGCCTGGCCAGGGAGAAACCGACATGGCTCAGCAGACCTCTCCTGTCTCACCCGCTGCTCCCCTCAGCAGTGTATTTCACTGTCTGTCTGTTCTGTTCCCCGCTCTGTCTCTGATGGATCCTCTCACCCCCCTCATCTCTGGCCTGTACCCCAGCTCTTGTATGCATAAATAAATAAATCTTTAAAAAAAAATTCTAAATTGGAATGGTAACTGAAAATATAATTAAAGCTCTCTAATCTTAAGAACTGGTTCTAACTAGTATGTTACCTGAATATTTTTTTAAGGGATCTTATTCTGGGCTTTGAAGTTTACATATGGCCCCCCACCAGTCTTTTTTTTTTTTTTTTTTTTTTTTTGAAAACTCTTTTTTTTCCAAGACTTATTTTATTTTATTTTTATTTATTTATTTATACAAGCACTGGGTACAGTCAGAAGCGCGGGAGGGTGAGAGAATTCACCAGAGCCAGAGCAGGGAGCAGAGCAGGCAGAAGGACCGAAGTACACTGCTGAGGGGAGCAGCGGGCGGCAGGAGAGGTCTGAGCGCCACGCGGGACCCTCCTCTGGTGGCCGGGGAGCAGCCGGGGATCGAACCGGCGCTGCAGAGGCCGCGGGCAGCTTCGCAACCCAGCGCTCAACCGCTGCGCCACCGGGGAGGGCACCAGTCTTCATGAACAACATTCTATTCTTGAAAGCATTTTGGTAAAATTTGGTTACTTATAGGTAAAAAACAATTTGAGAAAGCAAGAAATAAGAATGTCATTAATGATTATGCAAAGAGAGGAGCAGTCTTTTAATAGGCAGACCCACTCTGGAGACTCCAAGAATCATTTCTCTTTTGAATTTAAGTAATCACTGGAGGTTGTGGGGTAAATTGTTTCCTGTAGTCTGTACCAATTAAGAGCTGACCAGGCTAAAAAAAAAAGGCTAATCAGTCTAGGTAGCAGAAACTTCTAGTTGATTTCAGGTCTTATGTTCTCTTGACTGAAATTTCTGACTAGCAGGTGGTGTTAAACTAAAGTCCTCATCCCTGGGGAAGAGGGCAAACTCTGGAGTGACTGGATTAGAGGGATGCCTCTACAGTTCGAGTACCGTCAAGGCAGTAAAGTAGAACTCTGCAGTGAAATTCTGTCTTACAATATCTGTGATGCTGAGATTAGCCACTTAAATCACTAGACAGCAGAAACATTTCAGAAAGTCTCCCCCATAATATCTAGTTGAATAGGAATGAAAGCCTAGTTAAATAGGTGGCATAGACTTGAGGGAGCCAGGTTACAGGGCTCATGTAAGGCCTCCCTGGTGGCTCAAGGGGTTAAGCACCACACTATGAAGCAATCCACAGCCACTGCAGCACGAGTTCAATACCCGGCCAGCCAGGGAGAAACCCACATGGCACAGCAGACCTCTCCTGGCTCGCCTGCTCCCCTCAGCAGTGTACTTCGGTCAATCTGCTTATTCTGTTTCCCACTCTGTCTCTGGTGAATCCTCTTACCCCCCCGCATCTCTGGCCTGTACCCCAGCTCTTGTATGCATAAATAAATAAATCTTTAAAAAAAATAAAATAAATGGCTTGTGTAGGTTAAGAGGAGTATAATTTCCTAAAGGGAACTGAGTGGGAGAGTTTAATAGGAATATCTTTGCTTAAAAACTTTTTCTGTAAAATAAATCTTTTTGGACATAAATTACTTTCTTGTTTATTTCTGAAAACACCTATACTTAATAATATTCAGCAGAGTCCTCTATTTCAAAGGGCTTAGCCTGACTACAGCTGTAGTAATTTTGAAGGTAAGTTGTGATATTTTCCTGAAAAACAGTGGACAGATTACATTTTTCTCCAAATTTCAGTGATACAGTTGGAGTATTAAATTAAACTTTGCATGCAAACTTTGCATGGCTTAGTTTATTTAGTAACACATTTCAGGTGTACTTTATTCTATTGACAGTACCCCCAAAATAGAACTATGTAAAGCTAAAAGTACCGTTTAGAAAAGTTGCAATCACAAAATTCTTTTTTTTTTTAAAGATTTATTTATTTATGCATACAAGAGCTGGGGTACAGGCCAGAGATGCAGGGAGTGAGAGGACTCACCAGAGACAGAGTGGGGAGCAGAACAGGCAGACTGACCGAAACACACTGCTGAGGGAGCAGTGGGCGAGCCAGCAGAGGTCTGCTTCACCATGCGGGTTTCTCCCTGGCCAGCTGGGGATGGAATTTGTGCTGCAGAGGCTGTGGATTGCTTCATAGTGCAGTGTTTAACCCCTTGCGCCACCAGGGAGGCCCTCTCAAAATTCTTATATGTAACTGCAGGAACAGCTAAAAAATTTTTATTTTTAAAGAAAAAGTATCAGTTCAGGGGGTCAGTTTTATCTATAAACAAAATAACCAAGTTTACGTGCAAGTAATGTAAATCTAAAACAAATTTTTGGATGGGAAGTCTCTCAATATGTAAATATTTAAATTTACCCCAGATTAATTAAAATTGCAGTGGGATTTTAAGAGAACTTGACAAATTGATTCAAAAGCTGTCCAGAACCGGGGCCTCCCTGGTGGTGCAGGAATTAGTGTCAGCACTATCAAGCTATCACCAGCTACTGCAGCATGAGTCAATCCCTGGCAAGGGAGCTAACCCACATGGCGCAGCAGACCTCTCCTGTCTCTCCCGCTGCTCCCCTCAGCAGTGTATTTCAGTAAATCTGCCTGTTCTGCTCCCCACTCTGTCTCTAGTGAATCCTCTCACCCCTCGCACCTCTGGCCTAACCCCAGTTCTTATATGCATAAATAAAATAAATCTTTAAAAAAAAGGTTAATACAGATCAGTAAATGGGATAGAATAGCCAAACAGATTTGAAAAGTAATTTTCCATTATATAGACAGCGCTAATAATTTAAAAGTGTGGTTTTATTAGAGTTAAAGATAGTTCAGTAGAAAAGAAAGAAGAGGGCCTCCACGGTGGCACAGCGGTTGAGCGCTGGGTTGCGAAGCTGCCCACGGCCTCTGCGACGCAGGTTCGATCCCCGGCTGCTCCCCGGCCACCGGAGGAGGGTCCCACATGGCGCGCAGACCTCTCCTGCCGCCCGCTGCTCCCCTCAGCAGTGTACTTCCGTCTTTCTGCCTGCTCTGCTCCCCGCTCTGGCTCTGGTGAGTTCTCTCGCCCTCCCGCGCTTCTGACTGTACCCAGTGCTTGTATAACCAACCAAAACAAACAAAGAAACAAATAAATAAAACATGCCTCTATTAAAAAAAAAAAAAAAAAAGAAAAGAAAGAAGAATGTGGCTATAGTTCCATGAATATTTTAGAATTTGGTGTATGACAAATATGTCATTTCACATCAGTAGAAAAAAAGATCAGTTGTATTTAGAAATTGATGTTTCATATGGAACAACAAATTAATAAAACTAATTTTATTATATTTATAGGGAATTTAAGGAATTTGCAATTTTGATTATTACAGGGATTTGTGTTATGTACTGACTCTCGAAGCTAATCAACAAAACATCTGACCTACTTCACTTTCCTAAGCTAATACCACAGGCACAAAAAATAGCAAAAGGAAAGTTGTCTATAGAAACCAAAAGACCTAGGGCCTCCCCTGGTGGCACAGCGGTTGAGCGCCAGTTCGTTCCCCAGCCACCGGCGAGGGTCCCACCAAAAAAAAAAAAAAAGACCTAATACTGGCTTGCATAGAAATTAAAGTGTAAATGGGGGTCAAATGTAAGAATCTAAATAAAACAATCTGATGCCAAATTTTAGGTGGACCTTTTTCTCTTCTTCATTAATTACTTGAAAATTATATAAAGGTGTTTTTAATTTAATCTGGTGAAATCTTAAAAAATACAGCGTCTGCATGTTAGTTAGAAAATCATACACAGATCGAAGTAAGCTTTAAGGAAGTATTTTGAGGTTTATCACCTTCTTTATTATCCTGTCTCTGTCCATGTTACACTGCTGAAACATCCTTCTCTGTATGCTGTGCTCTCTGCTTTCCTTCACTAGGAGCGGCCTGCTTCTGACTCCTGGCAGAAACTTGAGAAGTCTCGCGAGTATAAAAACAGTAATCAGCTCCGGGAGTACCAGCTGGAGGGGATGAACTGGCTTCTTTTTAACTGGTATAACAGGTAGGGACCAGTACCACTCTGGTCTTCTTGAATGTTTTTTCTCCCAAATGTTTATAGCTGGAGCTTAATTGTTGCCATACTCTGCTTAGAGTAGTAGCTGGTGGGAGAGTATGGCATAGTTGTTTACTGAAGGTGGTAATCTTGGCCCAGTAGTCATGACAAGACTTTATTTTTACATCATGTTTCACAAACAAAAGGAATGGTGTTTAGACACCTTTGAACTTGTTCTTTTTTTTTTTTGGCCAGTCTAACCAAAACCTTAGGCTCAGTCTAGATATCTAGATGTACCAAAACCCAGAAGATGCTTTAGAACTGTTTTTTCTAAGTCTTTCGCTAACAGTGGTTCTAAAAGGAAATGGATCTGAATTCTAGCCCTGTTCTGTTACTTGTTTTTGAGCCATGGAATCTCTGGACTTGTACTTGAATGCTCAGTTTTGTGCTCTTCATGCTTCATTTCCTGTCAGAATCTAGATGAATTTGAGAAAGATGGATATTCCTCACATTCTAGAATGTACGCCCTCTCCTCCAAGTATTAATTTTGAAGACAGCATGTTGTAATGAAAACACTTGGGGATTGGACTCAAGTGTAGTCTCTGCCATTTATTCACAGTGGGACCCAGAGCAACACTCACTCAACCTGTCAGGTCTGGTTGCCCATCTGTGGTGAGAACAAGACCTGACGGACCACACCCCTTCAGCCCTCTTTACTCTGAAATCTATAATTCTGGATCACCAAAAGCAACCAGCCTTTTTACTCTGATAAGGAATTTATCATGTGGGTTAAAAGTTTGTTCTTTAGTAACATAAATAATAGGCAATGAAGATCATGTAACCTATCATCTTTTTACTTTGGCCTTGGCTTCTGTGAAACTTGTCAAATACAGAAAGTAGCATAGGTTTGAGACATTTTCTTTTTTCATTGTCTCTATTTAATTTTTATTGTTTTTCAGTTTATATTTAAATAGATCTATTTAATGTATTTTCTCGAAAATTGCCATAGTTCTTTTTGGAAGTAGGCATGGTGTAAATAACAATAAAATTCATCTCAGTCACATCTCTGGAAAACGCCAATAAGGTCTCCCTTTCACTGATGACCTTATAAGTAAAGGGTGCTTCTGAAGTATTTTTTTAGTTAAAGCCAATCTCAAACTCTTTCTTACATTGAATTATCACATCTCTTACTTTTGCAGAAAAAACTGTATTTTGGCTGATGAAATGGGCCTAGGGAAAACCATCCAGTCCATCACATTCCTTTCAGAAATATTCCTCAGGGGAATCCATGGCCCTTTCCTCATCATTGCCCCTCTCTCCACCATCACTAACTGGGAGCGGGAGTTCCGGACCTGGACAGAGATGAATGCCATTGTGTACCACGGCAGCCAGATCAGCAGGCAGATGATCCAGCAGTATGAAATGGTGTACAGAGATGCACAGGTGAGTCTAACCCAGGGGCACCCTGATGTCTCTTGTCTTCAGGAATTTTAATGTCCTATACCCTGGGGCTGTAACTTAGTTGTTTATTGAGGCACACTTCTTGTTCCTCAGATTATTTTAATTTATGAGGAAAAAACAGAAGTGTAATTAATACATACTTTCCACTATCAGGTATACCAGAGGCTCTTTGGGGACACCAAAAACTTGCTTTTTGGTTGCCTTATAAACTGTTTTTTATATGTAGGAGATTTTATCTGACTTGTCAATGCTCAGTGAAGAAAGTAAATAGAAGAATTAGTTTACAAAGGATGGTTCCCAGCCAGGAAGTTTGGAGAGGAGATGAACAGATTTGACAGGGAAGGATAAAAAGAAAACAGGCTTTTGTTGTGTTAAAAGCACAACAGAATTTTTTAAAAAGTATTTAAATATAATCTCTTCGTGGAAATGCAAATCAAAACTACAATGAGATACCATCTCACACCAGTGAGAATGGCACATATTAAAAAAACTAGCAACAACAAATGCTGGCGAGGTTGTGGAGAAAAAGGAACTCTCCTGCACTGTTGGTGGGAGTACAAACTGGTCCAACCACTATGGAGAGCTGTGTGGAGATTTCTTGCCCTACTAAAACATAGAGCTTCCATATGCTCCAGCAATTCCACTCCTAGGTATTTACCCAAAGGACACAGAAACAGTAATTCCAAAGAGCACCTGCACCCCTATGTTTATAGCAGCACTGTTCACAATAGCTAAGCTTTGGAAACAACCCAAATGCCCAAAAATAGATGACTGGATCAAGAAGATATGGTACATATACACCATGGAATTACTCAGCATTCAAAAAAGATAAACACATGCAATTTGCAGCAACATGGATGGCGCTGGATGGGATCATGATCAGCGAAATAAGCCAGAAAGAAAAAGAAAAATACTGGATGGTCTCACTCATAAGCAGGAATCTAGAAAACTTAAATAAGGGACCAGGAAAAAGAATAACTATAAGAAAGAAAATATCAAAATCAACAAACAACTATGAACCAGAGACACTCTATGGGGGCTTGGGGGGCGGGGAAAGGAGGGCTTGGGGTCAAAATAAGGGGGTTGTAATTGTATGGGGCATATAAAAATAAAATTTAAATTAAAAAATATATATATAATCTCTTCGCTGAGTATGCTTGTGTGGTTGACCTGGGCACTGGTGTTTAAAATTAAGCAAGGGGAAAATTGAATGAATCCATTCAGAGGAAAGCCTGTGTTCTCCCAGGTTTTTCCTAGACAGCAGAAGGAGATACTTGGAAGAAATTTAAGATGCGCTCTAACATGATGCAGCTCTGCTCTTGAAATGTGTTGGCCATACTAAAAAGGGCTAGATGACAGCTATCTGTCCTTCCTAGCAGCACTCACCATGGTGGCTCAGGATCATCACTTTGAACCTTTTCTAGAATCCAAGTTACAAGGTGAAATCACATCTAAAATGTAGCAGAAGAGGAAGTTTCCTTGGGCTTGAAAGTTGTTCATGGTTTAGACCAATTTCTGGCTGGCAATGTGTGAATCAATACCCATCTGCTTTCCTTACCATGACAGTTAATAATTAAAAAGCTTTCTTGTAGTACCTTCCATGCTGTTCATCTTACTGTTGTGAGGGCACATACTGTCTTGTTTCTGTTTTGTTAATGTAATGAGGTCTCTCTCCGCTGAGGAGCTACTTCATTCTTATATTCTCCCCTTTCTGAAATAAGGAAGAGTAGTGCTTATTGTCTTCTCACCTAAGGCCATAGCATTTACATTGCTCCTCCTTTGATCAGCTGGTGGTACCCCACTAGCAGAATTTAATAGGTATGGCATAAAACTTTGCCTTCTGTTGTCTCCTCCTCAGGGAAACCCTCTTTCAGGAGTCTTCAAGTTCCATGTAGTCATAACAACATTTGAGATGATCCTGGCAGACTGCCCAGAGCTGAAGAAGATTCACTGGAGCTGTGTGATAATCGATGAAGCCCACAGATTGAAGAATAGGAACTGCAAACTTCTGGAGGGTCTAAAGCTCATGGCCTTGGTGAGAATTAGCAAACTCTTTATGTAAACACAGATTCCTTCTAGTCATTATGGGGAAAACATTGTGTAACTATTCTGCATATAGCTTACTTGTGCATAGTCTCTCTGCTCTAGATTGTCTTTCTGCTCCATATAGCTATGATAGTATAGGAACTGAATGGGTTTTTTTATTTTGAACTGGGTCAACAATTTGACCTTTGCCACATACTGATTCCCAGAGGGACCTAGGTAGGGTTTCTTAAATACAGTGAAATTTGTGACCTGGAAATGTCAGGTGTTTGGCTTGTTTTCAGGTCCCTGAATGATCTGGTACCAAAAATGATGGTCTTTTTAACATTACTGTCTTGGCACAGTGCCCAGTATGTGGTGGGTAGGCACTCAATAATATTGAATGAATAAATGAATGGTTGCTTTAATTAACATGAAATTGGGACTGGGATCAGCGATGTGAAAGAAAGGGTGATCTGTATTGACTGTGCACCCATGAAATGCTGGCATTCTGTCCTTTCATAAAAGCAAAACACGGTTGTCCCAAATTGAGCACAGAATGCCCTTGCTTCATTTGCCCACTAAAGCAAGTATGTTTTAGTGGTTCAGACAGTGTTCATCTTGTACTATTAATTTGTGCAGGAACACAAAGTGCTGCTCACTGGGACACCCTTGCAGAACTCTGTGGAGGAGCTCTTCAGTTTGTTAAATTTTCTGGAGCCATCACAGTTTCCTTCTGAGACTGCTTTCTTGGAAGAGTTTGGAGATCTGAAAACAGAAGAACAGGTAAATGGGGGCCTGAAGGATTGAGGAAGCAACATGATAGTTAACTTCACCATCTAGGAAAGAACAAGTCTCTGTAGGAAAAGAAATTAGTAAGTTCTCACATCCCTGGTAAAATGAGTGTTATCTTCTTTGTTGGTTATATTGAGGAGGAGGAGGGTAAGCTGATTATTGGCAGTTCTTACTATTCCGAAGGATAAATGAATCAAATTCCAAAATATCATACATTAGCATATCAGTCCTTTTGGCTTCACTGATCTCACATATGCATAGTCTGTGAGTTCAAGGATTATGCTCACAGCTCTGGCCTCAGGAAACATAGTACTTTCTTCTGCCTCCCACATCCTTCATCCTTTCTCCTACACAATTTGACACATGTTCTTGAGTACAGCAAAACATAGGTCGTGAGGAAAAGAAGGGAGTCATACACCTAAAGTAGTAGCCAGATTTGTCCAAATCAACTAAATTTCTTCAGTTTTCAAATATCTAAGTCAGCTTTTCTACTCAAGTCTGATTCAAAACAACTAATATTAAGAAATATCTATAATATCTATCTATAATAGGGATTATAGAAATAAGCCAGACAAGTTAAAATGCACAAAAACAAATCATAGGATTGGAGGCTTTAAAGGAGAGAAAGGTGACATCTGTTCAGTAATCGGGAAAGACTTCATGGAGAAAATACAATTTGAAGATACACTTTGGAAGATGCATAAGTTTTCAACAGGTGAAGAGAGAAGAAAGATGGAGACTACTTTATATAGAGGAGAAAATGCAGTTTATTGGGTAGTAGGGAATCATCTGGCTGAGCTTGACACAGGAAGATGACTTGTGCATGAAACCAGAAGGGTTTAGGGTTATATTTTGGGAAGATCTTGAAAGACAGGTAGAAGAACTTGGTGGGTATTCGAAAAGGAATGCAAGGTTTTGATTGCAAGAATGACATGATTAGTTCTGCCAAATTAATCTAGCAATAGTGTGAGTGGGTTGGGACAGAGAATTTGGGGCTGAGAAGACTTGGAAATTTTGCTAACAGATTTCAAAAGTACACTCTGTGGTTCCAATCTGTTTCTACTTCTGTGGCAACTCAGACTTTTAGAGCAGTGAATAATCAAACTTAATCCCACTTCTCTACATTTGCAGTATCTTACCAATCCTTCAAAAACCAGCTCCAGCCCTCTCTCCATTTTTGGACCATTAGAAATGCATCCTCTTCTCCCGTTGCACTTATTTTGTGGTATGCATTTTTTCTTCTTCCTAGACAAGGACCTCCTTGAGGACAAGGCCCACATCTTCTTCAAAGTTGTGTTTGTTGTATTGACCAGCACAGTGTCTGGCATATAGTATACTCTAAATGATTCAAGGTATGAACCAAGTGAAGGGCAAAAGCTGAGCCCGGCATGTGGCAGATTGGCATTTGTCCCTGTCTTTAATAGTTATCAAGCTGTGTCTTTTCTCTTTGGGTTCTTATCTTGTAATTCCTTATTCCATCTGGGGAATTAGATGCCTTATTCCATGGTTGGTAAAATCAGGGTGTCATAAGTAGATTAAAGATTGGGGTTAAGAGAAAACCACAAAAATATATCAAATGTCTGTATTTTAAATCACAGTACATAAAACTTTTAGGAAGCATCTGTTTCCAAAGTAAAGTATATTGATCATGGTTTAAAACCTGCTCCATAACTCCTCAAAATCACTCTGTAAGTCACTTTATATTTCTTCGGAAAACATTGGCACAGCACACAGCTTATTTATGCAGACCCTGTCCACTTAAAGTTTTTTTGACTTGAACCTTGATCCTTTGCACTTGCATTTCCCCTTACTTTATTTTCCCTGTGGGATTAATCTTATTGATAGCATATTTAGCTCAGAGTTATCTTGGGTACCTTGACTTTGACTCCCTTCTCTGCCACCATCTTCTTGAAAAAGGGAGTAAGTCACCTTGCTGGTGCCATTAAGTGAATAGAAATCTGCTGTCCAGGCCTGGACTGTTAAATGAAGAACAGGCACATCACAGCAAAGAGTGTGATTACACTTTAAGGGCCCCTGAGGTGACGATCTGCATGATGGGATGGGAGGTGTCACCTGACGTTAACTCTCTACTTGCTGCTATCCTCAGACATGTCTGCCGCTATTGTCACTTAGAAGATGTGCAAAAAAACCATATCTAGACTGCTTTGAATTCTTTTTGTTGTTGAGTTCGAATTGACACAAAACCTTGTGTAAGTCTCAGATATACAAGATAATGATTTGCGATAGATATGTGGTATTCACAATCTAGTTAATATCCATCACTACACATACTTTCCCCCCCAGTGATGATAATTTCTAAGATTTATTCTCTTAGCAACTTTGAAATATACAAATACAGTATTACTAACTGTAGTCACAATACTATACAGGGCTTGTTTTTGTTTTTTTTTTTTAATAATTAGAAGTTTGTACCTTTTGGTTACCTTCACCCATTTCACTCACCCCCAGAATGCCTCTTCTTTTTATTTTGTTCTTTCAACATCTCAGTTTTTCCTTTGTGTAATATATCTTGTACCTCCTTACATGGTTTAAAATAATCCTCAGGTAATTGTTGCATGTGTATGTGTTAGAAAGAGAGGTTTGTTTTCTTCACCCTGAAGAATAGGTACTGTCTTTCATGTCTTTCTTTTATATCTTGTCATTTTACTACATAGGTTCTGCATAATTATGTGTGAATTAAAACCAGATCCCTTTTTTCCTTTCTGTTCTATCATAAACTTCCCACGATCAGGGATCAGTCATGATCATCATTTAATCTACTACCACAGTACTATCACTAGATGCTCAAGAGATCCTAGTGAAGGTTCAAGTACCCCAGTAATCATTACATCAGGGTAGGTCCAGGTGAACAGGTCTCATTTCCCTGAACAGGTGAAGAAACTGCAGTCTATCCTAAAACCAATGATGCTTCGGCGGCTGAAAGATGATGTGGAAAAGAACCTTGCTCCCAAACAAGAGACGATCATTGAAGTAGAGCTGACCAATATCCAAAAAAAGTACTACCGTGCCATCCTGGAGAAGAACTTTTCCTTCCTGACCAAGGGGGCAAATCAGCACAACATGCCCAATCTCATCAATACCATGATGGAGCTGAGAAAGTGCTGTAACCATCCCTATCTGATCAATGGTGAGTGGGGGAAGCAGGGAGCCACTCAGGCCTGGCATGGTCCTCTAACAAAAACTGATGATTGTCAGTAATCTTATATAGTGAGTTCCCATTAAATCCTGGGTGTATGCATGCTCACTTTTTTTAATGGGCCACTAAACAGTTTTATTTTTAAAGAAGTTGATGAATTTGCCTAAGTAATTGTAAGGACAGGAAGGGCACTGAGCAGGTTTTCTATGATTCTATGCAGACAGGGTAAAGGAGGAGTCCTGGATCCCTCAGCGGCTTTTCAGGTTTTTATTGGGATTTACCAGGTACACAGCAGGCAGGGGTGCCAGAGGGCCATGAGGCTGGCAGGCCTCCCAGTCCCCAGCAAGTCTTCACTCTGCCTAGGCTCCCCGGTGATCTCCGCTGCTCTCGTGGTTCTTCATGCTTCTCTGCTTCTCTTCTGCTGGCGTCCCTGTGATGCCGCCCTTAAAAGCCCAGGCTTAGCCCAGGTGAATCCCGTTTACATATGCCCACGCCCTACTCCAGGTGCCCGCGCCATCAGGCATGCTTTCGGGACCACAGGGTTCCGTCATCTATCCTAATGGCAGGAAGGCAGAAAAGCCTGATACTTTTTACCTTACCCTACAGTAATCTAGTTAGTGAGTACACAGCTAAATTTTGACCCTACTTCTGCCAACACTCTGCCCTACAAAAGTTGGCTATCACCCATTAGTTTGTTGTCCTTTTCTTAATGGCAGTCTAGCCCACACTTTCCACTTTGGCACAGGGAGCTGTTATTTAGTTGAATAATCATAACGAAATGAAAGAAAAACTACAGACAAGTTAGCAGTTAATTGTCCTAATTAGAGAAGATGTCAGGAACTTTTTGTACAGTGAAAGTTTTTGATGAATTTTTAAATTAAAAATGTGGCTTGGATTTGCATATCACTTGTCTCTGACCTCAGGAGGTATGTCAAGAGGGGCTTCTTTGTCAACTTTCTGTGAAGGTTTCTTTATTGTATGAATCAGCTTAGGACCTGGTGTCTCAGTCCTTTCTCTACTTGGTGGGACTTACAAATCAAATCACCTGTATTCTCTGCTTGCTGAGTTTGCTGCTTGCAGAGCCTTCAGCTGGGGACATAGACCCAGGATATACAAGCAGCACCATCTTACTGGAATGTCAGTCCAAGACCTAAGAATTTACTTCTTTTTTCTAGGATCTATAGAGAGTGGCTTTTATCCTTACAGTTTGTCCAAGGAATAGTTTTGTCCCATTCCTTTTCAGGGGCAGAGGAGAAAATTCTGGAAGATTTCCGAAAAACCCACAGCCCTGATGCCTCCGACTTTCAGCTACAGGCCATGATTCAGGCAGCAGGGAAGTTGGTACTGATTGATAAACTGCTCCCTAAGCTGATTGCCGGTGGCCATAAAGTCCTCATTTTCTCCCAGATGGTGCGCTGTCTCGATATCCTGGAAGATTATCTCATCCAGAGAAGGTGAGAGCTGTTTCAGAACTGCATGTGGGCAGTTCCCTTTCTCTGAGACCTTTTTGATCCATTCAAAAATTGTGCTTTAATAACAGCATTCAAAGATGGAGAAAAGGAAGCTTTTAACAATTGACTAAAATTCAGAATTAAGTCTTGTGGACCAAGTACGTCCATGTTTACCTATCTAGTGAATGTGGAGTCTTTGTTTTGCTTAAAAAAGAAATGCTAAATGTTTGTTTATGTTTTCTTTAGCTTGAAGAAACAATTCAGATATCATTAGAGAAGGTTAAGGAAAGAAAATAATGTGTTTACTTTCTTGGGCAGGGCAGGGTGTAATTAAATAATGATAGCAGAAATACAGTACCGTTGTATAAGGTTTCTAAAAAACTGTAAGTTGACAACTCAGCAAAATTGTCAAATTCAAAAGAGTTTGGGGATATTTTATTTCTCAGCAAACCTTTTTGGTTTTAAGGTACACTAGCTGTGGCATCCCTTATTTTCTTCATATTCCTTTAATTCCTTGCACCTAAATTCCATTACTCATGCAGGTGTTAATGTGGTTAATACTTGTTTGGATTCTATATGAGTTACATTTGTTAATACATTTTACTTTACGTAATACTACATTGTACCTTACATTTCTAGTCATTGGGATAAATCAGTGATGGGAAGATGATAAATGGATTTTTAAAAATTAACTTTTAATGATGAAAGACTCTTCCAGGTCATAAAAACCATTAGCCTTACCCATTGATAAGTTCAAGATCTGTATTTTCATATAGTAAAATTGCAGCACATCTCAATTGTCTTATATTCTTTTCCTTGAAGACTCTGAAAATATTAACAGAAATAGCAAATTTAACTATGGGATATGTTGACATTTAATGTCACATAAATCTTCTAAATCATATTAGGCAATAAAGAATTCTCAGCCTGCTAGTGGAGATTTTTATGTAAATAATTCTCAAGACATAGATAGATAGATAGATAGATCTGAATAAAGCAAAACTAATAAAGCAGCTTTATGTTTTATAAAATCACTATATATTAGGAGCCCCATTGCCAGAGCACTTGCTGCTTATGAATAAATTACCTTACTCTTCAAAATACATACATTACTAATTTGCAGTTTTTTTAATGAACACCTCCAGAATGAGAAACTAATTAACAGACTTTACAGATGTCTTTATTTAGACCTTCTATGCTATTTTTTCTTATCATTTACTGCTCATTTTGCTTTCAAGTTACTTAATGCACTGTAGTTTCTCTGGAGAATATGGACTTGCATCACACCACCACCTGCTTAGAATCCTTATTCTACTTTGGAGTTTATCTTAGTAGTCTTCTTTCTTTGTGTGCACATATGTTTAGTTTTGTTGTTCATTTGTTTAAATTGGGGTCATATTGTACATTCTACTTTGTAACTCAGCATTTTTGTTCACTACATTGTGAAACTTTTTTCTTTTGTTATTTTCTATAACATTTTTGGTCATCTGCATGATAATCTGTCTTTTTCAGCATTTCAAGGAATGCTATGGATATCCTTTTATTTTGATTGAGAATGCTTCCAGTTATTTCCTTAGGTTAAATTCTGATATACATTTTTTAAAAGTACCCTATACATATTTTCAGAAACAGTCTAGAAAGGTGGTTTTACTTAACATGCCTTTATAACAGTCTATGGTAATGCTTTTACTCACATAATCTGATCAATACTGTTTTTGCTCCTTAATCTTTGCTAAGTCAATAAGCCAAAATTATGGGCCCTTCTTTTAATTGTATTTCTGATTATAAATGAGTATTTTGTCATATATATTAACTGTATTTTGGTTTTTGTGGAGTGTTCATTCATATTCTTTCTCCATTTTCTGTTGCTCTTTTGCCCTTTGATTATTAATTTTTAAGACTCATTTACATAAGAACATAGTGCAATTACTTCCCCATTGTTTTTGACTTTTAATGTTGTTTGTGAGTATGGGTTTTTGTTCGTTAATTTTATTTTTAGAAATTCTAAATTTTTAGCAATCAGATACTTGGTCTTAAAACAATTTTAAATAAACTTAAATGGTTAATTTTGTTTGAATTTAAGTTTAAATTAATATGCTTAGGAAGACTTCCCCTATTCTTAACTATGGATTCTTATGAACTTAAGTAATTTCTTGTCATTCTTTTATGATTTCTTCATCTCATCTACCTCTGGCAAGGTTCTTCTGCCCTTATCATTATTACTTTTCTCTTTTTTACTTTAGTTTTTATTTCATCAGTTAGACATGCTCATAATTTAAAGAGTGAAATTATTCTATTAGCTTTATGAAAATTTGCATTCCTTAATCCATCCCTCCCCCCAGTGCAATTCTCCTATGCCCCAAAACAGTTAATTTAAACTTTTAGTGCAGTTTCTCTTGGTATTTATGGCTCTATCTCTAAATAATGTTAACGGTCATAATTTCTTGATTTTTTGGAGATTGTTATATGTTCTCATAAGGAAGCTGAGTCTCTTCTCTCACTGCCCCTCATAAGCAACTTCCTATCCTCCCATCATCCAATATGCCATGTAAATTTGGTTAGATTAATATTCAGTGTTTATTATAACTTATGTAAATTCTGAATTACAAGTCAGCCATGTAGTATGTAGTTTACAGCTTCTTTCTTGCATGATTTTTTCCCCCTGTAGTAAAAATGATCTTTTGATTGGATTGCTTCTTTTTCTGCATACTTGTTATAATTCAGCTCCACAATTTACCCTTATTGTCTAACTCTGCTTTTGTTATGTCAAACACGTAAGTTTCATCTTCTCAGAGCCATTTCTCTTAGTTCTTCTCATCTCTTCCTTTCTACCCCTTTGCTCTTCCTGCCTAGTTCACAGTTGTCATACGGCATCTCCCTTCTTCCATCACTCTGACAAGTTTTCTTTCCAGTCTTCTGGATTAAGTCTCTTTGTTAGTGGATCCCTTGTACCTCTCCTGGGATCTACTGAGAAGAGGTACATTATAAGTAAATTTTGAGACATGTCTGAAATGTTTTTAATTTACTCTCACTCTTGAGTAATCATTTGGCTGGGTTTGAGATTCAGGGTTAAAAATCATTTGCCACAGATTTTTGTCTGTTCCTATTTCTTGTCTTTCATATTAGAATTGTTGGTTGGCTTTGTTTTTTTTCTTCCAGCACTTTGAAGGGTTGTTTCACTGTGTTCTGGCCCCAGGGTTTTTGATGAGAAGTTCTTCATTTATGCATCATTGTTCCCTATATGTGATGTGTTATTTTACTCTACCACTAAGATTCTCTTTCAATTTTTGATTTTTAGCAGTTTGATTAATTACTCCTGCATGGAGTTAATTGACCATCTTGAATTTGTAAATGTATGTCTTTCATCAAATCTGGGGCTCTTTTGGACAAATTCTTTTCTTTTTAACTCAATTCTCCTTTCTCTTTGTGGGAATCCAATTACCTGTGTGTTTTCCTTTTTAATAGCGTCCCATAGATCCATAGGCTCTGTTCTTCACCGCCCCCCAATCCTTTTTTTCCTCTGTTCTGTTTAGATCTGTCTTCAAGTGCCGTCTTCAGTCATTTCCATTATGCTCACAAAGTCCACCTAGTGTTTTATTTTAGAGATTACATTTTAGTTTTAAGATATGCTTTTGATTTTTCCTTTGAGGTTTTGTTTTTCTATTGTTATTTCCTTTCTCTTCATTCATTATGTACATTATCTCATTGAGCATAATTATAAAAGCTGTTTTAAAGTTCTTGTCTGGTGATTATAACAGCTTCAGCTTGGCATCGTTTGATGACTTTTTCCCCTTGAGAATGTGCCACATTGCTTTCTGTTTCTTAATATTACAGTGAGAGTGAAAATGCAAATTCTGTTGATATAGGTAATCGCTCCAGTCCCAGCTCTAATTTCTTTCAATCTGCTCCAAGAAGGTACAAGAAGAAGGTACAAGAAGGTCTCTCAGTGATAGACTTAGGTAGAGTTTGGGGTTCCTCATGAACTCCCCTCACCCTCTGTCAGTCCTGGTTTCCTGTGACTCCTTCCCTTGGTGCCTCTGATAGGAAAGACAGTGGCTTTTTATCATATTTGGAGCTGCCCTACACTTTTGCCACTTAGATCACAGCCTCCCTCTGACCAAAACCACAGTTTCTATTCCTTTCTAAAGTCTGCCAGTTTTTCTTAAGTCTTCACTTGCCCTCCTAGGTTTGCCTGCTCATTCGTTTTGGGGGATGTGTGTGTATTTTGGTGGGTTGTTGTTGTTTTTGTATTTTGTCTGGATTTTGTGGTTTTGTTTGTTAGAGGTTTGATATTTTCAATCTCTCCCTCCATTCTAGAAGTAGATATCTGTGTTTCAGAACAGAGGCTTTCCTCCCATAGCTGGTTTAAGGCCTTCAGATGGTGGGCTCTTCTGAGCTAATTAGAAGCTCTGCATATGTGGCCCTGGTTTCTTGACACCTATATGGGCCCCATCCATCTAACTGGGCCATTTCATTGGGGAACCTCAAGTGTCAGTATTTTGGGAGTGTCTCTTTTCCTTTCTCCTGCCAAGATGGGAACTTGATTGTAATAAGAGTTGATTGTGAGGAAGATGTAAGGAGTGGTAGGGAGGGCTCAATGTCTCTGTCCCTCTTCCCTTTTGTTAGTATAGAAACTCTACCTGGCATGGGTGATCTATAAGCTCCCTGATATTTGAACAGATATTCCACCAGTTCCTTTATTTAGACTGTACAGTCTTCCTTTCTAGAGTACTGGTGCCACCGGTGCCTGCTTCCTTTAAATATTCTGCAGAATTGAATTCAATTATTTCTTCTGTTTATTTGGGGGGAAGGAATTAACCATGCCTTTTAAAAAATTATTTTACTATTTTACTAGAGGTTGTGGAGATTAAAGAACTAAACATGTATATTAATTCATAGTCTTTAACTGGATTTCTTTTTTTTTTTTTAACATTTCAGTCTTCAGTCATATAATTTCGATAAATGGCTTAATTGGATTCTATTTTAAATTATTTTCACATACGTCTAATTTTCTATTTATTAAATAGTTGATTTTCCCCATTCATAGAAAACTGTCTATTAAGTATAGATATGCTATATATGTTGGGTGTGTTCTACCCTTTCTTTTGATCAGTACTTCTGTTCTTGCTCATATGTTGTTGTTGATGAACTACCCCTGACTATTTGAGTCCCTCACTACCTAAAAAATTTGTATGTATATGTATACGTTTACATGTCTGTATTTACTTATGTGTATATATATCCATCTGTTTGAATTTTGATTGACTTTTACTCATTAAGTAGGGCAGGATTGATAATATTTGCAAATTTAAAATATTTGGTATTCCCTGCACTTATTCATGTCTTTTATATATAAACCGTTGATTTGATAAATATTTATAAAGTATGTACTTTGTGCTAGAACTTCTATATGTGTTAGGGACACAGTGAACAAAACAACATGGCCCCTAGTATCATGTTGCTAAGTCCTATATATTTCTTATTGGTTTGCTCTTTAGTGTTTTACATGTTTTTCTTCTTTCACTGATTTTTATGGCCATTGTAAATGGGATTTTCCCCCCATTTTTTATGTTTTCCAGCTGTATATTGCTGGGAGATGAAAAAGTTATTTTATTTCCCTTCAGGCCTTTTGAGGTCAAAATTTTCTCTCATGACCAAAGTGTTTCACTCCACCTCTCCCTGCCTAACCACCCCAAGAGCAATGAGGCTTTCCAGAGTGCCACCAGCTTCTTGTTGATATTTGACAGTGATCAGGATTACAGTTTGATGAACTTCATCAACTCCTATGAATTTTGTTCAAAATATAGTTGATGCACAGGGTTAATTGACGAACCGATGGCCGGTATGTTAAAATTTATGACGTCTGATTTCTTCAAATTTACTAGCCCATAAGGTGTTTTCTGTACTTGAGGCTTGTTGCCTCTCCTGGTATCAGTTTGATTTTGTTCCCATTGAATTTCATGGTATCCTTTCACACAGAGGTCATGGCACAGCCAAGAGATCTGGCTCAGAAGTTGGGAAATGGAGGGTGGCAAGGAACTATTTATTTTTTTATTGAACTTTTTAACTTCCTTACTTTGTTGTTCATTTTTGTATAATATTTGAATTCTCTCCTCAAGTGTAGTCCCCATAAATCTCCCACCAACACATCACTTGTGAACCATCACCGTAGTTCCTTTTGCTCCTCCCTCCCCTGTGCAAGGAACAATTTAAAATAACTCAAATAGTTAGAGTTTTATTTTAGCTTTGTGTTCTTCAAGAGTCCTCCCTTGGCTGAACTAAATGATAGAAATGAGAATTAATGTTCCAGTCATCCTGCAGAGTTTCTAAAACATGTTAAACCATAGCTGGCAAAATACGATCTAATTTTATGGGAATTTTTCCCCTAGGGGATAGCTAACCTATATCACCATTGTTCACTGGTTTCTCTTCCTCGAGGCCAGGGCAAGATCAGCCTCACTCAGATCCGTGGCATACAGCTCCTTGCTGATGGTTAGGGGTCTCTTACCAAAGAACACTGAGTCCTCTGTGCCTGCAGCATTAATAATTCACATGTGTGGTGGTAGAGGAGGTGGCAGCATTTGTTTAATGGAATCTCAGTTCTGCCTCCTTACTCCAAATCATATGCTTCCTCCACTGTATCACATGCATGGTCAGACTTCTGGGAGCAACCCAGTGCAGATCCCCGGTTCATTGGTTTAGCAAAATCACCGATCCTTGTAGTTTCTGCCATCACCTTCTATTGAGTTACAAGTTTCCAAAGTTTCCCAGTGTCTCTTATTTATCTTAAATTTTCTCTTTTTAAGTTTTTAGGGAAATCTTTATGTCCTCTTGCATTTTAATGGAAAGTACAATATGAAGACCATACAACAAACTGGTTAAGAGTGTGGCCTCTGAGTCAAATGGGTCTGAGTTCAGGTCGCTTAACTGCTGGGTTGCAAAGCAAGTTAATTTGCTTGTGTGGGGTTTTTTTGGTATGTTTTTGAAGTTTCCTCAAATATAAAATGGGGATGATAGAGAAGTAAGTGTGAAGATTCATACAAGCTTATAAACACAGTACCCTGGCACTATGAGCTTAACACTTAAGAGCTTGCTCTGATATTATTGCTGTGGTTGTTATTAGTAATAATAAATATATCTAATTGTGTGTGTTTTGATAGAATTCTAACATACAGTCTATCTTTTATTTTAATAGCACAAGATCTTTTTAGTCTGCCATCATGACAGTCCTCTTACTTCCACCTATTTTACTTACTAATGTAGTCCCACTATTCTTAAGTTTATTACAGTTTTTAAAAGAGAAATAAATCATCCATGCCAGTATTGCTTCACGTGTGTCCCTTATGTCTCCTGGGTAGTCTGGTTTCTTTACGTGGCTTTTCCTTTTCCTTAAGGTAGTTGGGAATATATGACCAAATTTCGTTTTCTAGAGCTTCACACAGTCACCTGCCATTAGAGTATCTGTCTTTACTCTCTTTCCAGTGTGTTATCTGAAATTTTAAAGATCTGATTCCTCAAATTTGGGGCTACCAGTATGATTTTTGCCAGGATTTGTGTTCTTGGTTATTATTGGGTTAGATCCTTTTCAATAACTTATACTATACCTACCTGTTCTTGCTTATTGGTCAAAATTGGGCCCTGGCTAATAGTTCTCTTATTAATTTGTTTGTTGTCAAGGGGTGAATAAGAAAAAAATAAGGCTCTTAGCTGTCATCGATTGCTACTACATTTTAATTTTGTGTTAATTCCATGTTCTCTATCTGTGAAAAACAGAAGGTACCTGTTTTTTTCTATTTGGAGGAACATATATTGTGTTCCTATAGCAATTTTATTTCTTACTCTCTTTCCTTTTACCTTAACTTTCATTAGCTTGTTTCTTAACTTTCCACAATGATATGTGCCTTTTCATGATATTCAGCTTTACTTCCTGATTTTGTTTTCCTCTCAAAATTCTTCAATTTCCCTAACATGGCTCAAAAACCTTTCCTGTGATTTATCCCTACTTGCTTGGCAGTATACTACCCAGAAGATCTTGATTTCAGCCATAAACTTGGAGGTTTGCTGTGCTTCTAAAGCTTTGAGGAACTGTTAGGATAGAAATGACTAGCCCAGATAAAAGAGCTGCCTGTCAGTATAATCTTCTCACATTCAGCTTACCCAGAAGCAACTGAAGACTGCTTTGAACTCTGATTTCTTGTTATGAGCATTACTGAAAGGAAATGGTTGAGGCTTCTGTTTGTCTCCTGGTCTTATCATTAGACTCAGTGCAAGTGAAAACTGGGAAATACCTGAGAATAACTTGCTTGGGCCGTGGGGATTGATACTTCACATTTACATTTCTTCTAGTTAGTTTGTGGCTGGTGTATTGGTTTAGCTTGGTTTTTGCTTGTTCTGAAAGGGGGACATTTCACAATGCAGTTTTAGGTGTCTGCCCTGCTACATATGTGGAGGGGTGGACTCATGCTAGACTGCTGACATTTGGTCCAAATTTAGAAGTAAGGAATTTAAGGCTGTCGGTCAACAGCTTCCTTTGTTGTGTGCTGTTCTCCTTTGAAGTCATGATTAACGCCTGGGCTTTCGTTCGTTTGGGTCCCCTCAGATACACCTATGAGCGAATTGATGGGCGAGTACGGGGAAACCTGCGCCAGGCAGCCATCGACCGGTTCTGTAAGCCAGACTCAGACCGCTTTGTCTTTCTTCTGTGCACCAGAGCGGGAGGCCTGGGGATCAATCTCACAGCTGCTGATACCTGCATCATATTTGATTCAGACTGGAACCCACAAAATGACTTGCAGGTAACCATTAGGATGATTGCTGTTTGCTTTAGCTGCCCCTGAATCAAGAGCATCATGACAGGGTCTGCCTTGGCTTTAGAGTGTCTACCGTGCTGCTTGCTACGGTGTCGGCCACGTTACCGACTTAGGGCCTCAGTGAGGGAACACAACTGAATGAAAAGTGGGTATTACCCCTTCCCACTAGTTGGAGAGTGGGTCTTTACTTTTATTTTAAATCAAATGGTATTTTATAGTGGTAACATCCAAATAGAAAATAAAACTACCATTATTCTTATCAGATATAAAGAAAGATACTAAGCTTGACTAATTTTCTAATTCTTGATGCATAGATTGATTCTGTCATTTTCACTTGGGGTGTATGTTAGATACCATATGTCAAGTGCCATAAATGATGTGTCCCAAAGGGGTGGGAAAGTTGCATGCCTGGAAGTCACCCATATTAGTTCATTTAGTGCATATTAGAGTTTATTTGTGTCTAATTCTGTGAATTCTCAGATGATATTTACTAGTTTTAAACAAACTAACAGGTGGCTTTAAAAATCATTGCCAGAGTGGGAGTTAATACATCTAAAAAAGCAATCATAAAACAAGAAAAATAGCAGAGCTAATACTTCTCCTACTTCAGAGGTCTTCATCAGCCTTGTTTCAAAGTAAAAATAATGACAGTATAGCCAGATTGGACAGTAAGTCGGTCAAAAAGATTGTAAGTTGCAAGACAGCAATTGTGAATATAGGTTTTACATCCATCATTAATAATAATGAACATCTATCGTGGGATATTTGCTAATACTTGGAGAGTATGGCGGGAGGGTAGTGGGTGGCTCAAAGTCTTTTTTCATGATACAGATAATTGATAAAAGAAATTTGGGCCAGCTATTTCACAAACTGAAGAGGTAACCTAGGGAATACTCCTGGGAAAACAAGCTACACTGACGGCCATTGGGGTTTCCTCTGCACTTGCCACTTCTCACAAAGCCATTCTGCTTTGTCTTTTTCATAAGTTTCTAAGTGAAGTTTTATTTAACTCTTCCTATTAGTGTGTTAGTTGAAAAACCAGTGCTTTAGATTATTATATTGGTAACCATGGCTAAAACCCAGAGTAAAAAATATCATGACAAATAATGGGGCACAATATTCAAATATTTTGTAAATGAGTGAAAGCTTTCAATCATCTATAATTCTTTCAGAGAAAAACCTGTGGATATGATTAGCTCACCTGTCGGGTCTTTCTACTCGTGAAAGGATATTTGGGCCAAAGAAGAGTTGCTAGATACAATGAATAGCCAATTTTTAAAGGCGTAACATCCTCAACATTAAAATAATCAAAACTGCAATTGATCAGGTTGCTAGCAAGAACCTAATTAGGATAGAGATAGAGACGAAGGAATGGGAAAGTACTACCCGTAGATTAGCCACCTGTATTCTAAGTTTGTTTGTTTTTTTGAGTACAATCAAATTTGTATTCCAGTTCTCTCTGCTTGCTGTCACTTTATGGTGATAGAGTGAATACCACACCAGAGACTTCATAGGCCACATCTAAGATATTTCCTGTTATAGAAGTTTGCCCACTGCAAGACAGATGATTTCTTAAATTTTTGGCAGCTGTAAAATTCTGTACTCCTTTTCAGTACTCACCCAACTGTGAGGCTTGGTACCTGGGAGAATGATGATATAAGAAACCAAAACTGGGTGGCTGAGTTGAGGCTAGGTTAGCTGAACAAGCCTGAAGGAATTTCCAGGAGGGAAATTGGAAGCATAAGGCTGGCATTTGGAGGCAGGGTATGGCCAGAGACAAAGCTTTTGGAATATTGGCTTCACTTAGGTGAAATCTGGACATTACTGATTGAATAGGCACAGTGCCAAGAATGGAAAGAGCAAGAATGTGAATATTGAGACCTGGTGGAGAGGGTGATATCATTTATATTTGATTTATATGTGTAGCAACCAGAAGGAATGGGTGGGCCGTTCTGGATTAGGGTTTGGGGAAAAGGGAGTTTAAGAATAGCTGCTTTTTAATATCTACTGCTGAAGAACCAGCAAGAAATGAATAAAGAAAACTGAAATAGTATAGTGTAAAGTATTTTAGTGTGCCGATACCATTTGTGGACTTCCTCTAATGTTCAACCTTATTGAAGAAACAACTACCAGCACTACGGGTGCTCTTCTTGTACCCAGAATGTAGCGGAAGGTAAATGTATGAGACCATCCATCTTATGATGACAGCCCCTAATCCAAGTTAAAGTTGGAATTCCCTAGTTTGCCATCTTTTATTTTTTTTTTTAAAGATTTATGTTTTTTTTACAAGAGCTGGGGTACAGCCAGAGGCATGGGAGGGTGAGAGGATTCACCAGAGACAGATTGGGGAGCAGAACGGGCAGACGGCCCAAAAGCACTGCTGAGGGGAGCAGCGGGCGAGGCAGGAAAGGTCTGCCCCACCATGTGGGTATCTCCCTGGCCGGCCAGGAATTGAATCCACGCAGCAGAGGCTGCGGGTAGCTTCACAGTGCTGCGCTCAACCCACTGTGCCGCCGGGAAGACCCTTGCCATCTTTTAGACTGGTGACTGCTTCACTGTTCTGGATCCATTGGTCTCTGCTTCTTGGGTTATTTTTAACGTTTCATATGTTAAGCTATCCTTTACTTTTGAAATATCAGACCAGATTGGGTAGAAATGAGGGAATTGGAAGAGAAGAATAATCTTAGGGCAGGGAAGAAGATCAGTGGTGATTGGGGAGGGATATCATTGGGATGTACTGTGAAGACAGGTATGACAAGAGTAAGGAAAGTCCAAGTTCTGCAGTGTACACAGAGATGGAGCAAGGTTCTGTGCTTGGTTGGCATGGGAGTGTAGATCAGGAGGACTGGAGACTACCCACAGGATATGCACACTCAGCACACCCTGTCTTTGCTCTTGAGCCCATGTGCTATAAATGTGATGTGGAGGAAAGGATCTGGAGACTGCAACCCTGAGATTATCATGTGGTTCACAGGGCTACAGCTGAATCAGCTGTGAAAATCAGTGAAATGCATTCATAACCCCAACCAAGCAGAAACCTTAACCAGACCATTCCCTGGACTGTTCCTGCTAGGTGGTTATGTAACTTAGACACACTCCATTCACACACACAAACTCTAATATTTTTCATGGATGTGTAAAAGCTTTCAGTCATCTATATTATTTAAGCTCACTGAAGAACTGCAATCCCTATCTCCGAAAAGATGATTGTATTTCCTTTGGAAGATGGGCTTAGACATAGAACATTTATCCTGAGGGTAAATTGAGGTACATACTTCTGATCGAAATATCAGGGCCATGGAAAAGAAAATCCCAATATGATCAGAGTCTCATCCTCTCTGCTAATGGGATTTTAGCTTAGCTCCAGATGTCCAAGTTCAGGTTACAGAAAATGGTGCTGTTCACTAGTCTCAAACAGCTGCAGTCTGTCATTATCCCCAGTCAGGACAGCATGCGGTTGTAGCAGCGCCAGGACACTGTTTCTGACTGATGTAGGTAGACCTAGCAGCACCATTCCCTTCCCAAATCCTTCTCCCCCTTTCCATGAAAGTGAAGGCACAAATACATTAGGATCCGGGATAGAAACTGGGCCCTACTTAGGGGAAAGAGAATATAGTAGTACGAAATACCTCAATATTAGCGTTTTTCCTGGGTTTTCTGGGTAAATCAGTTTTTATGTCCCTTTAACAAATCTCATCTAGCAGTATCAGGTAAATGTACATCTGCTCTCAAATCTTGACTATATGTGTCAGCATCAGTGTGTGTAAAAAAGCGAGAGTGTAAATTCACCTTTATGCACCTTCATCCAGGAGACACAGCTGTGATCCAGTCTTGGTTTGTCAGCTGCAGCAGCTTTTGCCTTAGATTCCCAGCAATACTCAAGGTTAAGAAATGGCACAATAGCCTGAGAGGGAAGAAGAACAGTGAAAAACTGGTTTCTTTTCATTTGAGGAAACCAGCTACAAGCTCTGAGGGCAGAGACAGGCCTGTTGGGGGTAGCCAGGCACCACACCTCACCTCACAGAGACTGCACACACTGCACTTTTGCATGTCTCCATGACACCTCCATTCTTCTCGAGGGAGACTTTGTTCTTTAAGGCAAGAGCTCCTTGGGGTTGAACAGGGCTCAGGGTAGCAGTGGTGGGGCCTTATAGTACTGTATCCTTTCTGCCAGTAAGATTCCTGAAGGGAGAATTCAGAGAGTGTGGGAACAGGTGTAGTGGCAGAGGGCAAAGCCCCGGGGTTATGCAGCTGCTGCCTGTCCAGAGAATTTTGTAATGGAGGAAGGAATCCAGCCAGAGCCCCTTCCAGGATCCCTGGAAGCAAGCTCATAGGGGCCTGACACATTGCTCTGAGAAAGGAGACTGCCCCTTTATTACTTCCTTTACTGCCACCAGATTGCAGGTATCACCTGTTTGTTGACAATATGTGCCTGGAGCTTGGAGGACTAGACTCTTTTGAAGGCACTTTTATTTACTACTGAGACTGATAAGCTTATGCTGTCAGAAAGCTTTTGTTTTTGTGGGTGGGCAGACAGTAAACAAAAAGTAAAAAAAATAAGATATAGATAGCAGTACTTACTACAAAGAAATAAAAGAGGCTAAGAATGCTGAGGGGTGGGTGCCCTGATTTAGAGAGTGGTGTAGGAAAGCTTCTTTAAGACGACCACATTTGGACGGAGATGTGCATGAGAGGAAGAATCTTAAATTATGAGATCAAAAGGAAGAGTGTTCCAGATGAGCATAGGCAGCACAACTGAAATAGATGGGACAGGTACTTACAACCACATAAAGTGAGTGAATTTCTTTTGAGTACTCTCTTGTCTCTCTTCAACAGCCTCTCTTTTTCACTCTCTGTTCCTTTTTTCTGCTACCACAAAACACCCTTTTCCCTCCTATCAGCTCCTCTCTCCTGCCTGTTGTCAGCCTGGTCTTGACTGACTGGCAGATATATTGAGCCCCAGACACTAGGCCACACTATGGGAA